CTCTATAAAACCCCGTTGGAATTTTCACCATGTATGGGTTACAGCCAAGTGTTACAGCCAAGACAGAACATACCTTCTGTGAAACTTCCTCTCACAGATGACCAAACCTTAGACCCCTGTCTTAGAAACTTTTCTGGTCATTGTTTTGAGAATCAAAGCTTTACCAAATTCACTTTCTTATTTGAGGAGATAAGGAGTAGAAAAATCTCCTTGCATGACATGTGCCAATTAGATCTTTTTTTGCAGTGATAATTAGCATACTTTATCTTCGATTTTTTGCTTGCATTATTTTTTCCATTTCTCTTTGAGACAACTCTTGTTTATCCTGAGTGACAATAAAGAGAGCCATAATTTCTCTCTTTACCTGGAAGGTTCTAGAAGAGTAATTGTGGATAGTGAAATAGATTGTAGCTTCTAATCAGTGCTTCTTTTTTTTCCCACTTGGTTGATAGAAATTTGACTTCTAAGAGGATGTTTTTATTTCCCAAGAGAAATTCTTTAACTTTTCATTAAATATGATATGAAAATATTTGTGTAGTCAGGAATATTTTCACTTCAGTGGAATATGTTGGAATTTATTATATATTATAGCTGCTCTTGAAGTCATTATTCACTGACCTTGTTTTCAGCTGACCAGACCTGGCCCACCCAGGATAGCTTGATAAAGATCTATGAATACATTTCTCAGGAGCTGCAAAATACTAATGTTGCTTATGTCTTCCAAAAGAACCTCCTGTGAATCACCTTCCAAGACACTTGAACATATGAGCATGCAGGGTGTCCTATTATGTTCACAAGACAGGAACACCAGGTCGTGCTGGCTTCATTTAAGTCTGATTATTAGTTGTATCATTTTTAAGTTCCTTCTCACATTTTTTTATGATGTGAGAAATGTGAGGCCTGACCTTTTCTTATACTTGCAGTAGGGTTCGGGATGTTAAAAAAATATTATAGAAACTCAGCTCTGCTACTTACTGTTAGTGTGGCCTTGGGTGAGAAACTTAACTTCTCTTTGCTTTGGTTTTCTCATCTTTAAAATGGGAATAATACTACTTTACATGGTTGTAAAGATTGAACTAGATAATAATGATGCGTACCAGCAATTAACACAATGTCAAGAACATGAGCTCTCAGTTAATGGCTGCAATTATTTTGATTTAGATTTAAATATGATTCAATCTCTTGTCAGGTTAGAGACATGATTGGAAAGTATAACACTTGAGTAGGCAAAAGTTTGGATCACTCTTCTCAATGTAAGTTGGGAATTAAAATAATGATTTTGTATGATAACTATAGATATTGAGTAATAGTGTAAACTAGTTTCCAGAGAAACCAAGTAACTTAAACTTAAATGTAATGTAACTCTCTGTTCTTGCAGTTTGAGTTTTGATTTTGCAAAAGTTGTGAGAAATGACCCTTCATTAGAAGGAAGGAAAAAAGGAAGGGAGAGAAGGAGGGATTGAGGGAAGGAAGGAGGGAGATGAGAAATAGAGAAGGAGGAAGGAAGGTGACTTTTAAGTACATGTTTTTCTATTTAAGGATTTTCAAGGGAGATTTTTAGAAGAACCCCTTTAATCATTGCCAATATAATTTTTTAAGGGGAACATTTTTAAAGGACACCTTTCTCATGATTGCCTTATCACCTATCATGAACCAGTGCAGTATGTTCATAGACAGCTTTCAGAAAGTCTTGGATCTGTGTCCATCAAGTCACTTGTTCTTGTCCCAGAGGAAGCATGAAGTTCCATTGCCAGAGATATTTAATATTTGGGCAAAACCGTAATATGGGAGTTAGCTTTAGACCTGAAAATTCAAAGTTGATTCCTACTAGCAGGTCACTTGATTAATAAGTGAAATGCAGTTATGAATCTGAGGCAGAGATGAAATGTGAAGACCAAGAAGGAGGGTAATTACGATATAATTGAAGGTCATTTTGACAATTATTTTCAACAAACCAATTATTTTCACATACTGATTAGATCCTATATACTTCATCTCTCCTTTGGAGCCGAAAAAGGGACAGTGATGGGAGAGGGGCCATATATAGATGGAAAGTAGAACAGCAAGGGGTTCTGAGTGGTGAGGGTGGTTTCATAGGACTGAGAAGGTAGGATATTGATGTCAGAGCCAGTAGGGAAAATTCTGAATGTTTTTGTTTACAGAAATGTTAGAACTGAGCAATAAAGAAAGAAAAATTCTGTTCAGAGACATGAATGGCATGGATGTTAATATCAGAAGTGTTAGAGAAGTAATATGAAATGTTTCAAAGATATATATGTGAAAGTGAGTTCATTTTAGGCTGACTGCCCGTTTCTGGTGTTTGCTCTCTCTGATTTGCTAGAAAATGCTATATTGAGTTTTTGCTGTAAAGAAATAGAGGTTATTTAATTTTTATTTTAATCACAACTGAAAAATAACTGTCCTTGTATATGTTCATAATTCCTTCAAATGACCTAATATTGACAGCATTCCTCTGTGAGAGGAAACTGAATGACCACACTTCTGATTTTACAGATCCTCACAGCCCTCTTAATACACATTACCTGATACAAGCTCAGGAGAGGCTTTTAGAATAGGAATGTCCTTAAATTATCTCTTGAGGCTCAGTAAAGCTGCAGGTTACTAGCAAATGTCACAGGCACAATAAAACAGCTGCAGCCCAGGATAAGGAAGCACTGAGCCTACCAGTCTCAACCAGTGGGCTCAGATTCCCTTGCACTGCTCTTCCCTCACCTAGCAGAAGGGCGTCCCAGCCTCAGGGAACCTCCATATCAGACGATCCTCTCGTGGATCACATCTAGACATCAACACTGCCTCCTCTGGGGAGATTCTGGTTGCCTCTCTGGAGCACGTTTATCCCACCATTTTCCAGCCCACCAGTTCTGATCATCAGACTTCTTTGATGATGGGGTATCCAAGATATGTTGCCTTCTCATCTACACATGGACCTTGGAATCTCTTGTTGGGATAATGCTTTTGAAAATGATCTGACCCATCCCAAAGCATAAGGCCCTTGAATTTGCCCACATGTACTGAGCTTGTCTGACTTCCAGTGCATCATTTTGGGAGATATTTCCTACCACTGGGAAGGCTTTTCTAGCAGTTTTTTAGGGATCCAAGATGGCCACTCTGGTCAGTCAATTTGGATAGGAACAGGTTAGCTATGTCCAGTCTCTACTCCTAAACAAACCTACCAGGGGAATACATTTGCCTTGTGGGTTGGAAGAAAGCCCAGATTTCAGTCATTTAGAGGTGGAATACTTACCAATATACCAGTGACCGGATGGACCACCTCTTCTGCCTGGCTTTCCTAATACTCCAGGTCACTAAGACATCCACTAATCAAAGGGGCCAGGTATTTGCCATTTATTAGAAGGGAACAGATACTCGTTTCAAGGTTTGGAAAAGTGCCACAGTGAAATGCCTAAATAAATGAAAGTGCTTTAGGAATTCTTTATTCCTTGCATGACCTCAGAGGTTCCTGCCAGCTCTAAAACTTATGACTTTTGTAATTCCAGTGGATATGACTGATTCTATAAATATGTTGAGCACTTACTATGAGCTACCTCTGATTTAGGTCCTGGGGATAAAACAGTGCCTACCCTCATAGAGCCTTCATTCTAGCAGGCTAATCTGGGAGGTGAGAGCTCCCAGGATCCACAGGGCACTCACAGCCCTCACTGCTATTTCTGTACTCTTCATCATTCTGAAGCCTGAGAAGCACACTGATCAGGCTGTTACCTTCATAAATAAATCCAAATTGGATCTAGTTTTCTATTTTCCCCCTCTTGTTAGATGTCTGCATTTTAAACCATTTTGTTCTCTGCTTGATTCTTTATTCCAGCACTATGTTCCTTTCTACCCAGACTGGAAATAGAATATGTATTGGGAACTGTCTGAAATTGGACCCTAATTATTTATCTCATTGTCTTTTTTTTAGTTTTCTATTTATGTGGCGGGACCGTTTATAGATTTTGTATGTTTATCACATATGCCCTACTTGGCTCTACTATGAAAACCATAGAGAAAACATACAACTTTCCCTCCTAATTTTTCTAATAAACTCAGTATTTCCAAGTGGCATAAAAATAACATCAATGATAGTAAACAGCTATTTACTGAGCTCTTACTATGTACTGAATGTGGGGCAAAGCATTTGACCTGCATGACCCCCTCAGACTTTAGGAAACCCTTTGAGGCAGGTATATTAGCATCTCCTTTTGCAGCCCAGAGAAGTTATTGAAGAGGTCCCAGGTTGTATGGTTAGTATAAAATATTTTTCAAAGAATATCTTAAGGGTATTCTGATATATGGCATGTACATTAGAATTTCAAAAGTTGGTTTCCTTTTATCACTTATGAGTGGTTTGAATTAAAGTGAGAAATGTCACACTGGATCAGAACCAGGGTCTGATCTGGCCATTTTTCTACCTTGGGCCATTGCTGTGTTTTTATAGAATAAGAATATTTCCTTATGCTGTCACCTCAAAAGTTAAGAACGTGGTCCTTCCATCAAGTAAGTTAGGTACTTCTTTCTCTGTGGCCCATCTGGACCTTATTTATATGAGCACAGCACTTACCATGTGTATTATAAAATGCTCGTATACATGTTTATTATCTGTCTAATGTGAGCTCCAAGCAGTGTTAAACCACATCCTTCATCTCTGAAGCCCAGTGCTGGGTATACATTGGTATACAATGATTGCTCATTGAATACACAAATTTTAAGAATTTCCTAAACATCCTAGTTATAAACTAATATAACTTTTAGTTATATAAACTCATTATATATTCACAGATTCACTGAAATTATTTTTGAAGCTCATCTCCAACTTGTACCACCTCTTAACAAGTAGCATAAGCTAACTATCTTGGATAAAATAGTGCTTTATTTGTTGTAAAAGTATTTCCTTCAGATGTTATAATAATAACATTTAAAATCAATACCTACCTTTCATCATTGTTTTTAAATTTTTTTAATGATTCTTTCATGTTTTTCAGGAAGGTGATGTTTGGCCCAACTCATCAGCTGAAATCACTGTGTACTTTAACCCTCTGGAAGCCAGGCTCTACCAACAGACGGTTTACTGTGACATTTCAGGTAAAGATGTCTGTGTGCTAAACTCAGGTTACCAAGTGCCTGGAGAAAAAGTAGGGTACTTGAGACTCTGTGTGCGCACACGCACGTGCAGGCGTATGTTTAGGCTATGGGCAGTGCACAACATAAATAGAAGAATAATGGAGTCAAGCTATGCACTTCTCACTTCTTTCTAGAACAGATCAAACTTTGAAGTACATTACAATTATGGTGTGGGTGGTGGGGGATGGGAAACCATGGGTCTGGGTTTCTCCTTGATTTTTAGAGCAGTAAGAACATTCTTTGAGACTAATTCTCACAATTTATTTTTTGTCCTTTTTGTAGTATTTGGCTACTTATTTTTTTTTCTTTTTAAGTTTTTGTCAAAATAATGCATGCCAAGTGGGATGGGAAGGCAACCTGGCAGTGGCCAGAGCCACAGGGATGCTGTACAAGTAGGGTGGCAACCTGATGGCTTCAGGAGATTGTATAGAGAGAGGAGTTAAACAAAAAAGTAAATGTCTTGAGGATAACAAGAGCTAGTATTTTTCAATCTTGGAGGAGGGAGGTGCAAATATGGAAAGGAAGACGACTTAGATGAGCCCTTTGGGATTAAAATGTCATTGGGGTTATCAGTATGAATCGTGGTTGTTGGTATGCAGAGATATAGACATAACTATATATGTAAGTGTATGTGCATATTTGTGTACATATATATGCATATTTCCTAGTTATGTCCATTGAGACATCCTGGAAGCGTTGAGACCCTGATAGCAATGAGCACACCTAGCACCCAAAGCTTGGTTTCTAATTCCCATCCTCCACTAAAAGGAACTTTAGAGAATTGACTGATTCCAGGACTGAAGCAGAAAAAGAACAAGATGAGCCTGGAATATCCTGTTGTGTGGGAAAGTAAAAGAATGCTCTCAAAGAATGACAGAGACATGTCAAAATGACACAGAAACCAGCAAAGGGATGCTCACTGACCAAATACGAAACACGTTGAGGATCAAAATAAATAATGACACTAATAGATTATAATCCATTTTGTAAATAGGAATTTATGAGTCTACTCAATAAAATTTACCATTTGGCAATCACAGTAATAACCAATTCAGGTAAAAAGTATCAGTGAGTCTTAAAACTAATGGGTGAAAGCAGGATGTGTAATAGTATTTTATGTAGCCTTAAAATAACCTCCTTCAAAATACTAATTAATTATAAAGAAGAGAAATTTAACTTTATACTGCAGAAAGCTGGTCGATGTTATCTTAGTTAATACCAGCAGAAATGAGCAAATCCACCTGTTGGACCATCTGCTAAGGTGCAATGAGAACACAATATTTCTTCAGTGATATTAAAGCCAAAATACCTAAATTGTGTCTAATCATGAGGAAACATCAGACTAACCCAAACCAAAGAACAAAACAAAATGACCAGCATATATTCTTCAAAAATAACAAGGTCTTGAAAGTCAAGAAAAGAACGAAGAACTGTTCATGTTGATGGAGACTGGGGAGACATGACATCTGGGGCATCACGTGAGCCTGGATTCGACCTTTGCTATAAAGATTATTGGGCAAAAGATATATAGAGATTCTTTTTACAACTCAGAGAATTTTTCTGTGTTTTACAAGTATTTCAGAATTTTAAATGAATACTGATGCCAATAAATAAATAAACATATAGATTGTAAGATTACAAAGCTAACTAGCAGTCTGTTTCTCTGGCACTGCTCCCAAGAAGCACTTTTAGCTGTTTCTTGTGGTAATTACCCTTGCTAATTCTATGCTTATATTGCTATTTGCTGATTTATCACTTTCACACATTACATTTGAGTCTCCAATACGAAAGATGAGGATTTAATTCACTTACATTTCTTCTCTCCTCCTTGAGCTTCTTGAGTTATAATTTACATGCAGTGAAATTCACTCTTTTGGCAGATACAGTTCTGTGACCTTTGACAAACCCGAACAGTCTGGTAACCACCATCAAAGTCAAGTACTGAATCTCACCCCATAAAGTTCTCTCATGCCCCTTTAGCAGGCAGTTTCATCCCCCACCTCAGCCCCTGGCAACCTAAGTATTTTAATGTGTTTATTTCATTTTATGAGTTTTATTTATAGCCTTAATTAATATACTTAAAACTATATTTTTTGTTCCATCAACTCTATAACATCTCTTGATGTATAAGGATATTGGGACCCGGCCCTAACCGGCCTACTACCATTCCACCTTTCTCCCTCTCAACTTCTGGGAGTTGTTCTGCTTTTATATTGTTGTGATTGATAACCATATTTAAGTCTTCTATTTTGTCTACATAAATCTTATGCATTAAAGGGCCAAATTGTATTCTGGGAATACATTTTATTCTCTGCTGGTTAAGTGTTCTGAGTTTTGATCACTCAGAGAATGTCTCTAAGATCTGTATCAAGTAGATTTCTTTTCTTTACTGTCCATCAGTCTCTCACAGTTATGCCTTGTGTCAGCTTACTTCGTAGTTGACTCTTTTGTATGCTTTTGGGTTTTTCCCCCGCTGTGGTTTCTAATTTCTTATTTATTCACTCCTATGTGACATTATAATGTCAACACTATTCTGTAATTTGTTTTTTTTTAAATTAATATGTATTTACTTTTTATGGTGACATTGGTTAATGAAATCTAATAAGTTTCAGCTGTACACTTTAAGGCATATATATATATATATTTACACTGTCTGTTCACCTCCCATAGTTAGATTTCTTTCTGTCACCACATATTTGACCACCTTTACCCCATCTACCTCCTTCCTCCCCCATCCTCCCTACCCTCTGGTAACCACTAGTCTATTTTTAGAATTCATTCTCCTCTTCTCCTTGAGGGCATTTTTTCCCCCAGAGCCCACCAGCTTCTTATTCTAATTCAGATCAGTCACCTCCTACACAGCTGTTATCCAGAAATTTTTTATAAAAATTTCCATGTGTGTTTCACTTTTGCTTTCCTCAAGCAACCTCCTCAAAAAGAGTATGTAAAAGAGAAATTGTGATATTTGAATATCTCATTCTGCCTCCGTGCTCGATAGTTTAGCTGACTATAGCATTCTAGGTTTAAAGTAATTTCTCCTCAGAACTTTTAGAACATTGTATAAACTTCATTGTAAAAATCCATAAGTCTGAAGGTCCCCTGATTCTTATTCCTTTATAGGTGGCCTGTATTTCTTTTTGCAGTATTTTCTAGGATTTTCTTTTTGTATTTAGGGTCTGAAATGTCATGAAGCTATGTCCAAGACTGTTTTTCTAATTCATCCTCCTTAGCTTTCTGTGGACCATTTGAGTCTGATTATTCATGTGTCACTTAAGCTCTGGGAAATCTTATTTTATTTTATTTTTTTACATACTTGCCTTCATTTTAAAAATTGTATTCTTCTGGAAATCTTAATGGTCCAATGTTGGACCTACCGGATTGATCATCTGTTGTCAAAGAATAAGAGTTTAATCATCAAACATGAATAATAAATGACATTAAATGCCATTCAGAGCTATTAAATAAGAACACCCAGAGAAATACTGATACCTAGAAAATTCCAGGGTAGTTGGTATCATGCATTCATAAGGTTCTTTCCAATGTCTTCTGGTGTGTGATTGTCCATTTATATGTAAGAATGAGAAAATGGATTTAATTTTCAGGGTAGCTAGTGCTACTGGCCTCTGCTGTTTTATGTGTAGGTCTCCAAGGAATGTGGCTGTGGCGATTATTTTTAAACTTGGGAGGAGAGTAATAAGAATGCACAGTCATTAGCATCTTCAAGTGCAAAATCTATTCTTCTCCACCTAGAATGATTCTAATCAATATCTACGTAGTCACTTTTCTCCGTGCATTAAGTGGTTAGGCAGTCTAAGAACAGAGCAGAAGGATGGGCCGCCTGACCCAAGACTGCCATCCTTCACCTCCCCCAGTTGTGTGTCCCTTTCTGATGACATTTACTTCACTTTCCATGGATGTAACCATCACCTTGACTTTTGTGATAGTCATTTTATTATTTTAATACATAATTTTATCCCCTATGTATTCGTCCCTAAGCAAAATAGTATAGTCTTGCCTGTTTTGAATATTTATATATTGAAATCATACTATGTTTTATGCTGTTAGCAGCGGGAAGCTAAAACCACTCAATAAATATTTATTAAATGAATGGGCAAATAAATGAAAAGAATGAAGGCATGAGTGAATGAAATCTAATATGATCTGGCCTTTCCTTGCCCATGAATGCGGGATTCTCAAGATGGCCCCAAGTGAATGCAGAATGAACTAGGAGTTTCTGCGTTGACATTAGTCTGTTTCTGCCCTTCAGACCAGCATCATCTATCCCCGACTTCTTAATGGGTCAGAAGGAAATGTTGGTACATCAGTGTTCAAACACAGCCTGAAAATGCTCCAGTGGCCCCCGTGCCATAGGTGGTGTGACGTCCCTCCTCTCTATGGCTCCCCTGGGATGTCGTGCTTGGCCACTTTCCAGGGGGTTGGCTGCTCTCCAGGAGGTTCCCAACCATTACATAACTAGTTGTATTTATCTATTGTTTCATTTGCAATTCTGAATTCTGCCACAGAATTCACATTCTAGATAAACTGAATAGTATAATTTTCCATCTGCATGACATTCCTTTTATTTTGTTAGTGATACCCTAAAATATACAATTGCTAGGGAAAGGCTTTGTTTACATAGTAATTCCATATTATTTTCCCTGTAAATTTCATGCAATTCTATGTGTCTTTTCAAGGGCTGGTGATGATTCCTTATTATTATCTTGGTTTTAGGTTACTAAGAAATACTTCTAAGGCGGATAGAAAAACTCCTACCCTTGCTTTATTTTGCGTTGCTTTTGTTTTCCTATGGGTTTTGAGCATGTTGAAGCAAATACATATTGATACGCTTCCCCTTATGCTTTTTTACATAAATGATAACAAACGTTACACAATAGTTCTGATACTGTGTTTTAAATATTTTTTGGAGATTATTCCATAACACTAAATTAAAAAGTATCATT